CTAGCTCAAAAGAGAAGCAGTGAGAATATTTGCGAGGAGTAGTGGACACAAAGACAATGACAGAAGGGCCATGATAGAAGAAGCAAAACGCGGACGGAGTCAAAACGGTGCATTCAAAGCAGGAACAATGGTAGCTTGGGTTTCTCGTCACNAAGAAGGAAGAGACGACCTGGAAGAGAACTCTGCCCTTCCAGAAGGAATGGAGAACTAGCTCATAAGAGAAGCAGTGAGAATATTTGCGAGGAGTAGTGGACACAAAGACAATGACAGAAGGGCCATGATAGAAGAAGCAAAACGCGGACGGAGTCAAAACGGTGCATTCAAAGCAGGAACAATGGTAGCTTGGGTTTCTCGTCACAAGCTACCAGGTCACCGTGTCATGGATGCCCAAAATAGCCTTGCCTTTCCTACGACGCCTCCACGTGGGTTCCTTCACAGAACACGGCGGGTAGAAGGGTACTTGTGGGTTCCCTTCACAGAACATGGCCGGGAAGGGTACTCGTGCTGCCGGACACGGATGTGTGACCGGTGCTACGGATATGGGCAAATACACCAACCGACCGAGGAGCCCGATCACCACAAAATGTGTTCGCTAAGTTGTGTGAAAAACAGGGCTGTTTTCATCCATCTTCGTTTTTTGTCTTATCCTGGAGCTCACCTTAGTTAACACCCGACGTAGCGACGTGTTTTCGGCAAGGCATGAATCCCGTGCTCCTAGCAAAGCATCATTGAACAATACGAACGAGGGGATGTTTGTCCAAGAGCTCACACTCCTCCCAAGCAGTGGTAACACGCTCATCAACCTCTGCCTACCTTCATGGAAATCCATCGAGAGGGGGTGGGTGCTGAATAGCTTGGTGACATAAATGGCATGCACAGGCAGACGGAATCCCACTTCATTCTACGAGAACCTCGTTCACAGCCAACGGTGAGCTTGTGCCATAGGCAAAAGAACGAAGGGCCAAGAAAGAACAGCTTCGAGCGACAGATGACCAGAGGAAAACCCAGAGACGAGATACGAGGATAACAACATATTCGCCTGATTGAGAGCGTAGCATCTGATTGAGAGCGAGATTGCGCGATACGCTGTAGCCGGACTACCACTGAGAGGTGGAGCT